TGGTACATAAACGGTCCTCTGTATACTCCCTGTCAGAGTAGCATCTTAACGTGCAACAGAATTCATCCTAATCAGTAAGACACCTCATCCCTGCGAGGATATGTAGTCTCTCAAAGGACAGTTAAGAAACAGATAACATCGCAGGCAGCTGAACAAATGTTTGAACTTGACTTCTGCGAAAAGGAAAAGGGAAGAAGACATCAAGTTCTACGAGACTGTGGAAACTGGTATCGTTCATCTTGAGGACTTGCACAATGAAATGCCCCTCCCTTTCAAACATAAGAACACTCAGCTCCCAAACAACTATGCTCAAGCTGAGAAGCGCCTGAACAGCCTCAAGAAACGTCCAATGTCTGATGACAAGTATTACACGGATTACTGCAGCTTTATGTCTGAAATCATTTCGAAAGGGTACGCTCGGAAGGTGGATGACGATCTTAAAGATCAGTTGGGTAGAACCTGGTACCTGCCGTATCACAGAATTTATAACCCACAAAAGCCAACGAAAATACGCGTGGTGTTTGATTGCTCGGCCTCATTCGAAGGACACTCCTTGAATGACAAATTGCTCCAGGGACCAGATCTCAGCAGTAACTTAGTTGGTGTTCTTACCAGGTTCCGGCAAGAAAAGTATGCTTTTATGGCAGACATTGAAAAAATGTTCTTGCAAGTAAGAGTAAGGAGGGAAGATCAGGCTTCAGGCTTCTATGGTGGCCAAACGGAGATTTACAGAAGGAGGCCGAAGAGTATTGCATGACAGTGCATTTGTTCGGTGCAGTATCATCCACTGCATGTGCTAATTATGCACTTAAACGCACTGCTGACGACAACGAAGATGAATATGGGTCTGAAGCAGCTAGCACCCTTAGAAGGAACTTTTATGTGGACGACGTTCTCAAATCGGCAAGCACAGAAGATGAGACTATTAAGCTAGCAAAGGATACCAAAGCAGTTTGCCAAAATGGTGGATTTAACTTAACCAAGTTTGTGGGGAGCACAGAGCGTATCATCAGCTCAATCCCTCAAGAACACAGAGCAGAACAAGTGAAGAACCTCACACTTGGCCAGGACAAGTTACCCATAGAAAGAGCATTAGGAGTTATTTGGTGTATTGAGTCAGACACATTCAACTTCAGTATTGAACTTAAGGATAAACCTTGCATGCGGAGAGGCATTCTATCGACCATCAGCTCGATTTATGATCCCTTGGGTTTCACCACTCCTGTAGTAATGGTCGGAAAGAAAATTTTGCAGGACATCTGTCACTAATAGCTGGGATGAGCCAGTCGACGATGCCACCCGCAGCAGATGGGAAAGATGGCAAAATGAGCTGTACCTACTTGAAAGTTTGAAAATACCAAGAAGCTTTAAGCCCTCGGAGTTTTGAAAGATTGTGGCAACGCAACTCCACTGTATGTCTGACGCTTCCACGTGTGGTTACAGTCAATGCTCGTATTTAAGGCTCGAAGACGAACACGGCAAAGTACATGTCTCTTTTGTTATGGGAAAGGCGCGAGTGACACCAAAAAAGACCATCAGCATTCCAAGGTTAGAGTTAGCTGCAGCCTCAGTCTCTGTCAAGATGGTGACGTTCTAAAGGATGAGCTAGAGCATGAGAACATTGAGGATCACTATTGGACCGACAGTAAAGTCGTCCGTAGGCTTCACAAGTAACGAATCCAGTTGGTTTCATGTCTATGTTGCCAACCGGGTTCAACTCATTCATGATCACACCACCCCCTCACAGTCGCATTACCTCAAAACCACTTCAAATCCTTCCGACGAAGGTTCAAGGGGTATGTCACCTAAAGACTTTGTTGAGAAATCACAATGGATTCAAGGCCCTAACTTCCTTAAAAAAACTACAAGCAGTTGGCTGATAGAAAAGTCATACAAAGACACTGTGGACCCAGATTCCCCCGAAGTGAAGAGCAAGGTTAACACATGTGTAGTGAAAGAGAGTGACGTCATAGTTGAGAGACTTCTCAGGTTCTCAAGCTGGCACAAAGCGAAGGTAGCTGTTGCACTATGCCTTAAGTACAAGAGGAGGCTCAGAGAAAAGGTCATGCCTAAAGGGAAGGAGTCCAGTGCTGGATCACCAGAACAAAGGTGTGTCAGAAACACCCCTGCAAGTGGAGAACTTAACGTTGCCAACTTACAGGAACCAGAAGTGGAGATCATCAAACAAGTACAAAGACAAGCATTTCCATCGGAAATAAGAAGTCTCCAAATCGTTCAAGCGAACGCTAAGTACGGTAGCCGGGAAGTAGAAAAGGAGAAGAAGGCTGTGCTGAAGAAAACCAGTACGCTTCGCACTTTAGACCCCTTCCTAGACAGTCGTGGTGTCATGAGAGTTGGTGGGCGAATACGTAAGGCGACACTATCGGAGTCACTCAAAAACCCTGTCATCTTACCAAAGTCAAGCCACATTACTGCACTGGTTATCAGCTACGCGCACGAAAGAACACACCATAGCAGAAGAGGAATTACGTTAAATGAGCTTCGTGCTAGTGGCTATTAGATCATTGGTGGAAATTCGATGGTCAGGCAGTTTATTTCCAAATGCGTAACATGTCGTTACCTTCGAGGTACTGTGGGAGAGCAGAAGATGGCTGACTTGCTGAAGTCGCGCGTGGAGCCAGCACCGCCTTTCACCTACTGCGGAGTCAATTTCTTTGGCCCTTGCCACGTACAACAAGGACGATCTGTCCTCAAGAGATACGGAGCATTGTTTACTTGTTTTGCAAGTAGGGCTGTACACATAGAAGTTGCAGACTCCTTAGAAACTTATTCCTTTATTCAAGCATTGAGACGGTTCATCTCTAGAAGAGGACCAGTCAGAGAAATTCGTTGTGACAGAGGAACAAATTTTATTGGTGCGGAAGCCGAACTCAAAAAAAGCTATTGACTAGATAGACAACCAAAAGGTCAAAGCAGAACTCCTTAAAGCCAAGATCGATTGGATTAAGAATCCTGCATCCACGAGTTACTTTGGAGGCGTGTGGGAAAGGCAAATCAGTTCACTCACAAACATGATGAGTGGTCTTATTAGAGAGCATGGTAACCGTCTTGAAGAATCACTGAGAATATTCCTTTGCGAAGCAGAATCTACAATCAATAACAGGCCTCTGACGGTAGAGACACTCAGCGATCCTCTTTCAGAGCCACCGTTGTCGCCAAGTATGCTGCTGACAGGAAAGACAAGGCTCGTGCTACCTCCACCAGGTGAATTTAAGAGAGAAGACTTATACCGTCGAAGGAAATGGAGACACACGCAGCACCTAGCACAAGAGTTTTGGTCAAGGTGGAGCAAAGAGTACTTGTAACAGTTACAAGCAATGATCAAGTGGACTCGACCAAAAAGAAATTTCACGGTTGGAGATGTGGTATTACTGAAGGAAAACCAGTCTCTGAGAAACAGATGGCCTTTGCGTAAGGTCGTAGCCACGCATCCTGATGATCAAGATCGAGTCCGATCGGCGACAGTGCTGACAGGCAATGGCTCCAAGTTGGAAAGGCCTGTTAACAAGCTCGTCTTACTTTTGGAGGCGCAATGTTTAGAGACTGGGATTCCCCAAGGAAGAGCCCGAGCTTTTATGAATGCTTTTTCTAGGAAATAAGTTTTAGGACTGTTATCGAGATAGTTATAGTTGTTGTTAAAATGTAAGGCAAGGCTTACATTTTGGGGAGCCATGTAACTGCTGGTATCCTGACCAGCGGGCTTACCCCCTTGTTTATTAGGAGCATGCGCATGGGGCCTCGGGATTGGCGGGCACGAGGCCACCGTGAAATAACCTGAAGTTTCACTGAGGTTTTCTTCAAGTTTCCCAAGTGTTTTGTAAGTCGTTTGTTTCAGTTTTTCTTTCTCGTGCTATGGATTTCTAACGGATATTTGTGATGATACTTGTGAGTTGATTCAGCCTCATGTATGATTAAATGTTTTGATGTTTTCATTGTCACGGCTATCATGTGCCGCCATTCGCCGGTACAAACAGATAAATGGGGAAATGGTACGGAATGCGGCTCTGTAAATAAAAGGTTCCGGGGGTCCCTCAGGCGTCGATGCAAATGGATTCTGGCGAATTCTTGCATCAAAGTCATTCAAGAAATCTGAAACAGACCTGTGCACAGTAATAGCCACCATGACCCAACGGTTGTGCACTGAATTTATTGATCCTCTTGGTATTGAGGCAATTTTAGCGAATCGACCCATCCCCCTGGACAAAGGAGAGAGCGCTGTCTGGCCGATCGATGTCAGAGAAGCTATACGGAGAATAATGGGAAGGTGTGTTATGCACGTGACAAAGTCCGATGTCATTGATGCAAGTGGTTCCCTTCAAGTTTGCGCAGGGCTCAAAAGCGGAGGTGAAGCTGCTATTCACACAATGCGTAGTATCTTCGATGCGGATGAAACGGATGCTGTTCTGTTAATCGATGCATCAAATGCCTTTAATGCCCTGAACAGAGCTGCGGCACTACATAATATCCGAGTGCTGTGTCCGACCCTGGCTACCTACATGATAAACACCTATAGACAACCTGCGCGTCTTTTCATTACAGGCGATGAAGAACTAATATCGGCAGAGGGCACCACACAGGGTGACGCTCTGTCGATGACTCTATATGCCATTTGTCTTCAACCACTGATGTGACTGCACGTTTCAAGCGCAGCAAAACAGTGTCGGTTTGCTGATGACGCAACCGGAAGTGGTTCCCTGCAAGACGCAAGGAAATGGTGGGATGAGAGAGTGGCCCTCCGCTGGGTTACTTCCCTAATGCCAAGAAATGTTGGTTGATCATCAAACCGGAACAAGAACAGGCTGCCAGGGAGGTGTTTAGGGACACGGCTATTAACGTCACCATAGAGGGCCACAAGCACTTAGGCGTGGTTCTAGGATCTAGATTGTTCCTTGAAGAATGTGTTGGCGAGAAAGTAGACAAATGGGTCAATGAAGATACTAAACTCGCAGATTTTGTCATATCACAGCCTCAAGCCTGCT